TGAAGGAAAAGAAAACACTAACTTGAAAACATATATGCCTCCATGTTCACTTGCTGCATTATTTACAATAGCCAAGATCTGGAAACAATTTAAGTGTTTATTGATGGATGAATAATGATATATATAATGTTATACATACATAATAGATAATGTTATATATATATAAAATTCAGCCAAAGAAAAGAAGGAAATCTTGCCATTTGCGACAACATGGGTAGATCTTGAGGGCAACATGCTAAGTGAAATAAGTCAGACAGAGAAAGACAAATACTGTATGATCTCACTTATGTGGAATCTAAAACAAAACAAAACACAACTCATAAATACAGAGAACAGATTGGTGGTTGTCAGAAGCAGGGGGTGGGGTAGGTGAAATGGGTGAAAGTGGTCAAAAGGTACAAACTTCCAGTTACAAGATAATTAAGTCCTGGGATGTAATCTATAGCATGGGGACTGTAGTTACTAATAATGTATTACATATTTGAAAGTTGCTGAGAGATCTTAAAGTTTTCATCATAAGAAAAGAGTCTGTAGCTATGTGTGGTGATGGATGTTAACTAAACTTACCATAGCGATCGTTTCGCAAAATATACAAATATCTAATCATTATATTAGTGCACCTGGAACTAATATAATGTTTTATGTTAATTATATCTCATAAAAAATAAAGACAAAACTCACAAAAATAGGTACGAATTTACATTAGCGTACTTTTGTTACAGACCCTCTTTAATAAATATTGTATTCTACATGAAAGTTAATTTGGAGAATACCTGGTTACATGGTCATGCAAAACTCACAGACTCAGCCACGCCTGTTTGGAGCTCACCTTAGGCATTGGTCTGTCTCCAGATCCTGTGCTATTAATTATGCCTATATTTATACAGTAGCTTCAAAACAATCATGATTTACAGTCAGTGCTTATGAAGGCAAAGAGACAGAATGACTTATTTCAATTCTGTCATTCAGTATAGCCAGGTGGAGTTTTGTGTTAAAATTTAGAACAGGGAAGCGGAGTACAAAAGGAGAGGCAAACTATTTTTGTTTGCTTAAGTGCCAATTTTAGTTCATAGATGACATATTTTACTGAATTTAAAATGGAAATTTATTCTTTAAAATTCTTAGTTGTTTTAAAATGAAAGACGAATCAGAAAAATAAATGTTATATCAGTGATGCAATTTAGCAGCTTTGTGAACTAAAATTCACTTTAGTTACTAGAGGATCATTTACATAAGGTACATCAGCCTATAATGAAGGGATCAAAGTGCAATCAGATAGATGTGAAATTGACCGAAATAAATAGTTGTATTTTTTTTTCATTTTTTTGTATCATAATATTAATTGTATGTATTTATTTATTTTACTGGCATGAGTATACATACAAAACTTTGTAAAAGAAAATTTTCACTTCTACATTTCTTTTCTGGACATTATTATTTATTTCATTTCATATTCATTTGAAAATATGAAATTTGAATTATGAAAATAACTTTATCCTATAGAGGATCGAGGTGTTAAAAAACGATCTGCTCTCTATGTGTCAAATATTTATTCCACAAATATTTTCTTAGTGCCATATTGGGAGAAACACTAGGTGCATGGTAACTGGAAGAGGCATTAAAAGGGAGTCAGATATGGCCCCAGGAGGTGATGACTGATCAGGTATTCGCCATAGAAGCATAGCCACTGTTTCTCAAGGGCCTGCTCTCAGTTCTACACCATGCTAGTAGTTGGAGACAGCAAGATACTTCAGACTCTTGTTACCCCACCTGTTATGATACAGCAAATGTTCCTGCTCTCACCCAAAGGCCCACTTGTCTGTTTGTACCCTGGGTTCTGTCCTTTCTTATCAATGTTGCTCCTATAATTAAGCACCTTCTCTGCTTCAATATTGCTTTCTCTTTATTGGTAGATCCCCATCAGCCTCCCTTAATCCCCCTTCCAGCTACCACCTCATTTCTCTGTCCTGATTCACAGCAAAACTTCTTTGAAAGAGTTGTTTACAGACAGGGTCTCAGTGTCTGCATCTCAGCAGCCCTGTTCTCTTCTCCCCACTCCAATCGGCTTACGTCCTCTGTAACTGCTTTTGTCAAAGTCACCAACGACCTTCATCTTGCCAAATCCAATAGGCATTCACTTGGTTCTTAGCAGCATTTATATGATGCAGTCAAATAGCCTCTCTTTTGAATACAGGCTTCTCCTGGCTTCTGGGAATATAGTCTCCTGACTTTCTCCCTACTTTTCTGGCTGTTATTTCTAGAGTCTTTTTGAATGACCTCACTGCTCCTGCTGTGCCTTAAATGTGGGCCTTCTCTAGGTTCTGTCCTCAGTCCTTTTCTCTAACTATCTCCCTGGTTATATCATCCACTCTAATGGATTTATAACCACCATGTCTATGCTGACAAACCCCAAATTTACATTTACAGTCTTGGCCTCTCCCTGAGCATATTTAATAGCCATTTCAAAACTAATGTGCCTAAAATGGAATTCTTATTTCAGCTGTTTCCAAATCCGTTCCTCTTCCCATTTTTCTGTATCACCATATGGTGTAGTCATCACTCAGGTGCTCAAGCCAGTCATCTAGGAATCATGTTTGATGCCTATTTTCCTCCCAGCCTTTTACCATTCCAATCCATTACCAACCCGTCTCATTTAATTAAAAAAATATTCTCTAATCACCATCACCAAACCCCACCACTGACATCTTTTTCTTGGAGAGCTCCTTTAGCTTTCTAACTGGTGTGTTTGCTTCCATCTTGTCCTCTATAATCCATAATCCTCAAAGGAACCCAATGATTATTTTAAAAACTTAAATCAGATCACACCAAATTCCTGCTTAAAATCCTTCTGTGGCTTCCCATCACACTTAGAATAAAATCCATAATCCTCAAGACCTCTCATCTCTGTCCTCATGTCATTCTTCTCTCCTCCTTACTGCCAGTCAGGAGGTCACCTAACTGTCTATTTTCCTTCTAGCAAGTCAAGCTCTTTCTTGCCTCAGATCCTTCCAATCTTCCTATGCCTGGCTTCTTTTAAGCTCTTAGTTCTCAGCTTGCATTTCTCTATTATGTTTCTTCCATAGCACTCACCACCGTCTAAAATTATATTTGACTTTATTATGTTCATTTCTTGTCTGCCCATTTAGAATGAAAATTCCTTGACAGCAAGTTTGTTGTCTTGTTTGCCATTGCATCCCTACTTCCAAAAAGCTTTGGGACGCAATAGGTACTCAATAAGTACAGTAGAATAAAGATGTTGTACCATGGAACTCCCAGTCTTGGGTTTGTACTCACAAGGGACAGAGGTACCTGGTGGAGAAAATCCAGGCCTCCGGGAGCATATGGCAAAAACTCTGACCTGGTGGGGTGGTGGTAGAGACTCCACTGTCTGCAGACGCCCTACACCCAGAAAAAAACCTTCCCTGTTTCAGGTGGGAGTCTGAAACCTCAGTGACCTCATCCTCATTTGGGGGTGACGCTCAAATTGAAGGGTGGAAGGGGAGGTAGAGTGGGCCAGATATAAGACTTAAGACGTGATGGAGGTCTGAGGTCCCAAGTTAGTGGCCCTGCGGTGTCTGGGCAGGCTGAGCCAGGCGGGGTGGGGCAGCTGCTCCCGGGTGGGTCGGTGGGTGCGGCCATTGGCTCCGCCCCCTCCCCCTCTCCTAGCGCGGCGGGAAGTAGAAGTCGAGCGCTGTGATTGTGGCGTGAAGGTGCCACGACACCCGACCTGCGACGCCGGGGTGGCGGGGCTCAGTTCTGCTCTGATGCGGTCTGGACCCGCGCACAGTCCCGAGGCGCTGCGGATCCCAGGCTGAGATGGAGCAGGAGGCCGAGGGGCTGGGCCAGTGGCAGGCAGCTCAGCATCAGCTCACCGAGGTGGGTCAGACGTCAACCCCAGGGCAGGGCATGAGGGCTGGGATGACGGCTGGGGGAGAGGAGGGAAGCAGAGGTCTGGGTTTACGTGTTGAAAGAAGGGGTTGGGAGGAATGGGAAATCAAGGATCGAAATCACGTGTCGTTTATTCAATTACTAGTCCCTGAGCCTTAATGCCTGTGCCGGGTGCTGGGGGTAAAATGGTTCCAGGCAACGTCCAGGAGAGGGGCTTGAGTACTGAAGAAAGAAGGAAAGTTAGGAAGCCAGAGGGAAGCGTGCAGGAGGAAATATTAAGTATTTATTGAAGCCCTAACAAGGGGCAGGCCTTTGTCAGACCCTGGGAATACAATGGTGAGTTTACCACAAGATAGTATACCGTTTTATAATAAAGGGCTGAATGATTGAAAGTGTACAAATTGTGACGGAGAAGTACAGGTAGAGGCCACGGGAGCAAATAGAGATGTTTGATCTGATTTAGGAGGCGAAGACAGCTTCGAATTTGGTCTGGGGCTGGAGAACTGGCTAAGTGAAGAGTTTGCAGGTTCTGAGACCAGACTGTGCCTTTGGAGGAAGTGAAAGATCGATTATGAGACCGTGGACTAGGTGGTGATGAGTTGAACCATGATCAGTCGCAATTATATTTGCATTTCTTTTTTCAATCCAGGTTTTCATTTTTTATTTTTTTTTTTAAGAGTGCTTTGGTGCATGTGAGCAGAATTCAAGGGTAATAGTTAGAAATCTATTGTGATAATCCAAGCGGGAATTAAAATGGCGGCCTAACTAGAGAGGTGAGAGCGGAGATGGAGATCTGGAGACGTTCTGGAAGTAGAGACCGAAAGCAGGTAGTTACCTGGACCTAGGTGGCGAGGGAGGCACCCAGGACAACTTAGATTTCTGGCTTGTACAATTAGGTGAGGAATAGTGGTGACGTTTTCTGAGAGAGCAAAAGATGAGAAGAAACAGGATTAATAGATTAGTTTTTCCCCTGGAGGTGGGTTGAGGGGTGGGTAAGGACGGTCCTGAGTTTCGGATATACTCCAACGTGCCCGTGGGCTATCCAAACAGACTGAGTATGAGGCTGCTGGAAGGTTCAGGAGAGGTCTGCCCCGGAGCTATTGATTTAAGAATAACTGGAATATAAACCGAAACGGATCATTAGCATGAGAAAGACCGCGCAGAGAATAGCATCTAGGAGACCTGCAAAGGGTTGATAGAGAGGACGGAGGGCCATGGAGAAGCGAAGGAGAAAAATGAGGCAAGCTGTCAATGTGTTCCTGCAATGCATTCCTAAAGCCAAAGGAAGGAAACATTTCAAGAATACTGTGGCCAGGAGGCTCAGAAGCTCCTGAGAGGTCAAGCTAAAAGGATTCTGACGAGGTTTTGAACTTTGACCTTTATGCAAACTGGTTCTAGGGTCTAGAGAATATTTGGGGGAATAATAAGGTAAGGTAGTGGTGAAGGTGTGTTTAGACACCTCCAAAGAAGTTTGCCTGTGAAGGATCAGGAAAATAAAGGGCCATTACTGAGAGGGAAGGGAAAGGGGCTGAGCACTCCGAGGAATAGTGGTGACGTTTTCTGAGAGAGCAAAAGATGAGAAGAAACAGGATTAATAGATTAGTTTTTCCCCTGGAGGTGGGTTGAGGGGTGGGTAAGGACGGTCCTGAGTTTCGGATATACTCCAACGTGCCCGTGGGCTATCCAAACAGACTGAGTATGAGGCTGCTGGAAGGTTCAGGAGAGGTCTGCCCCGGAGCTATTGATTTAAGAATAACTGGAATATAAACCGAAACGGATCATTAGCATGAGAAAGACCGCGCAGAGAATAGCATCTAGGAGACCTGCAAAGGGTAGATGGAGAGGACGGAGGGCCATGGAGAAGCGAAGGAGAAAAATGAGGCAAGCTGCTGTCAATGTGTTCCTGCAATGCATTCCTAAAGCCAAAGGAAGGAAACATTTCAAGAATACTGTGGCCAGGAGGCTCAGAAGCTCCTGAGAGGTCAAGCTAAAAGGATTCTGACGAGGTTTTGAACTTTGACCTTTATGCAAACTGGTTCTAGGGTCTAGAGAATATTTGGGGGAATAATAAGGTAAGGTAGTGGTGAAGGTGTGTTTAGACACCTCCAAAGAAGTTTGCCTGTGAAGGATCAGGAAAATAAAGGGCCATTACTGAGAGGGAAGGGAAAGGGGCTGAGCACTCCAGAAATACCCATCCAATAGACATTTATCTGGGGCCTGTTATGTGCCTACTTTATGCTAGTTGTTGAGCGTATAGTGGTGAATGGAACAGATAAAATCTCAACCCTTCTACGGTTTAAAATTTTTTCCCTCCATAGTCAAAATGTTACCAAACCTATCAAAATTAATGATAATCATTTAATATCATCTCAGATGCAATTCTTATTCAAATTCCCCTAGTTGTCCCTAAAATGTTCTTTAGAGCTGATGTGTCCAAACTAGTATTCAATTTAAGGCCAAACTATGTATCTGGTTATTAAGTCCCTTGGGTCTCTGAAATTAGAATAGTTTTTCCTGACTGACTTCTTTTTTCACAATCCTAATTTTTGTCTTATAGAAAGTTTTTTCTTCTGAATTCATCAAATTGCTTTTTCATGGTATAATTTAGTTCGATCATCTACCTCTTGTATTATCTCAATTATATCTTAAAGCTTAATTGGATTCCTTATTTTTGGTAAGAATGCCTCATAGGTACAGTGGGCTTCATCTTGCATTACTACATCAGGAGACAGACTCATCTGGCTCCCCACATTTGGTGGCACTAGGCTTGACCCTTGAATTAAGATAGCAAAAAGCCTGATTAATCTCTTTATTCAAACTTATCTTTAGCCTTGCAGTCAGAAATTAATCTGTGTAATGTTACCTTGGAGGCATTCAAACGTCCCAGTTCCTTACCAATCTTTCCCCTACTGGTTTCAACCAAATATTTTTCCTCAATCAAAAGTTTTATTAGGGGTTTTAGAGCTTTCTTTGCTGAAAACCCGCTCCTCCCTTGGGGCATACTGTCTTATCTCTTCATCTCTCAAATTCTACAGGGCTGTAGCCTTCCTTAGCATAGCCCATCTTCTTCTAAAATGTACTTTCAATAAATCTTACTTTTTCTAAAAAAAAAAAGTTTTTTATTAGAGGTTTTAAAATAATGATTTTTCAATTCCACCATTCCGTCTACATTTATTAGTTTGTATTCTTCTGTAAAGTAGGATTTTTCGTAAACAACTGGAATTATTTGGTGATTTGGAAATACTTTCCTACCAGAAAGACAATAAATGCTTAATTCTTTCACTTCAATTCACAATGTCTGAAGCTAGGATAAGAGCTGACCCTTTGTCATTTTTGGCTCATGAATTTTCAGATTCGATCTATTAAAATCAATCGTTATTCTTTTTGATTCTCAAACTTTCACAAATTTGGCAAGTGGAGACCCTTTCTCTGCCCTTTTAAAATATATTTTTAAAAATTATAAAATCTACATAATGTAAAAATATTATCCTAATCATGTTTACGTGTATGGTTTGGTGGCATTAAGCACATTTACATTACTGGGCAACTGTCACCACCATCCATCTCCAGAACTTTTTTTATTTTTATGGTGACATTGGTTAACGAAATCCAGTAAGTTTCAAATATACAATTCAACAGTAGAATGTGTTCACTGCTCATAGATTTCTGTCACCATATATTTGACTTCTTTTATCCCATCTACCTCCTCCCTCCCCCCTCTTTGTTGCTTTTAGGTTTATATCCCACATATAAGCAATATGTGGTTTTCAGCTTTTTCTGTCTGGCTTATTTCGCTTAGCATGATTATCTCAAGGTTCATCCATGTTGTCACGAAATGGCAGTATTTCATCTGTTATGGCTAATATTCCATTGTATATATGTGCCATAGCTTCTTTATCCAATCATCTATTGTATGGTAGGTCAATTCTTAGTGTTTGAAGAACCTCCATACCACTTTCCATAGTGGCCGTACCAATTTGCAATCCCACCAGCAGTGTATGAGGGTTCCTATTTCTCCACAGCCTCTCCAACATTTGTTATTACTTGTCCTGTTGATCATAGCTATTCTAACAGGTGTGAGATGGTTTCTCATTGTGGTTTTGATTTGTGTTTCCCTAATAGCTAGAGAAGTTGAACATCTTTTCATGTATTTGTTAGCCATTTGTATGTCCTCTAGAGAGAAGTATCTGTTCAGGTCCTCTGTCCATTTTTTGATTAGACCATTTGGTTTTTTGTTGTTATTGAGTCGTATGAGTTCTTTGTATATTTTGGTTATTAGGCCTTTATCGGAGGCGTTTCTTACAAATATATTTTCCCATTCGGGTGGAAACCTTGTTAACAGTTTCTTTTGCTGAGCAGAAGCTTTTGAGTTTGATGTAGTCCCATTCATTTATTTTTGTTACTTAGAATAATGTTCTTAATATTAATCCATGTTATAGCATGTGACAGGATTTCCTTTTGGGGGAGCTGAATAATATTCCATTGCATATATATATATACCATATTTTCTTCATCAATCTATGGATATTTGGGTT